ATTTCTTGTTCTCTCTCCCTATAGCGGGACCTCTTCCTCCCCCCCCCCCCCCCCCCCCCGCCCCGGTTTGACAGTCTCTTAGATGGTATCAAAGATGGTAGTAGCTGTTGGGGTTTTTTTGGTGAGAAGAGGTTAGTTGAAATGAGCTGGAGCTGTTGCTGCTGCTGTTAAAGTCCGATCTTGTTTAATCTCAGGTGATGTCTGGGATTTAGCTGGAATTGATACAGATGCTAATGTCATCTGGGTCCTTTTCTGGACCAGTCTGGTCAGGATATCCCCTCAGGATTAGAATGAAGAAGGTTCGGGGTCCCAGGAGGTGATGGGGATGGCAGCCATGACGGTGACGCTCTAGTTGTCTTTGTCTGTTCTTCCCTATTCCACACCCCTCACAAAAAGTGTGTGTGTTTTTATTGGTTTTTTTTTTTTTTTAAAGGAACCTCACAGGGAAGGGTGGTTGGAAAAGCCCATCCTCATTATTTTGTCCACTATTTTGTCAAAGTAGGCCTAAAATCTGACACACCAATTTTGGTTCATTAATTTCCGGTTCCACATTTTCTGTTTATTACCAAGTATGATTTTAACATAGTTGATCCATATCAGTAGGCCCTTTTTGTGTAAACTAATGGCGTTTTTCTGTCTCCTTTTTGTATCATTTTCAAAATGGTAAATTTTTGATAGTTTGCCAGCAGTATCTGAAAGAATCCCTTTCAAAATTACTTCATAGAATATATTTAATAGTATGTTGTAAGAATCATTGTTACAAAACTCATGACTAGTTTAAAAGTATTTCCCGCCATTTTGCTAGTTCAAAGTCCTTAAGATTAATTTATGTGAGATATTTAATTAGGGGAAATGTATTAATTATATTTCTCACCTTGTAGAAGTGAGCAAATTAAAAAGTTAAGACAAATTTTATTTTAACATTATGCTTTCTAAAGCTTAAGGCAGGAATTTGTGAACATTTTCACAGTATGGATGAAAGATGGTTGAAAAATGGAGTTTTCTTCCACAGAAAAATGGAAAAAAAAAATCACTTTTGTCTAAATTTTCCATGGTAAACTTTTATTTTTATTTTGGCCAAAATCCAAAATATTTCAGTTCTGAACTGCTACTCCAGTACTTCGTGGGAGTCGTAGTTTGGGTGCCTCATATCCCATTCTCTTCTATAGGCCAGGCTCCCTGATAGGATTACAATCTGCCATGGTGCACCATGGCCCCCTTTTAGTAAGGGGAGGAGATGTATCACAGGAATCCCTGACCATTGTGTATCATGGAAGATGTAGTCTGGAGGGAAACCTAGCCCACAGAAGAGAATGAGGACATAAGACAACTGAACTACAAATCCCATGAGGCAATGTGGCTGCATTTAAAGCATTTCAGTTTTCAAGTTTTGTTTTGTTTTTTTTTAATTGAAAAAGTAAATTTTCTGTGGGAAGCAGACATTTTGTGAACACTTTTATTTAAGTGAAAACCTAATTTTGATGGAAAACTTTCCACCAGCCCTAATGTGGACCACAGTTTAATTCATAGAGTACCTTGAGGACCGGTTTCCTTCCCATTCATCCTTCCCAAACACCGCCTCTCACATTTGCATTCTCTTTATGTTTCTGCAGTGATGAAAGCAATTGGGCATATAGACAACTGATATTATGAAAGTATGTAGAGTATTTTTAGCTGTCTATTCATGCAGTTCCACTGGAGATAAGAAGAGTATGCACCAACTCTCCAAATATTATCAGTAAGCACTCTATGGACCATAGTTTCAGGACTTAGGTTTAAAGGACACACTTCTAATTTTTTTCATTCTTGATTCTTTTTAAATATTTTAAGAAACACTACAGGTCATGGTTATTGAACTTAAATGCCAACATATTAAAAAGCTGAAATTTTTAATCAACTGTCATTCTTTCTGTATACTAAACATCAAATTCAAGAAGGAAGATTATCTGAAACCAGAAAACTTTCTGAAACTTTCTTTTCCTGCTCACAACTGATGGCCGTTACAGTATTTGTACTGGCAAAAGAGGACTAGACTTCTGGGTACTTTACACTGTTTTAATTATATATATTTTTCTTCCTCTGTGAGTAGGAGTAAATTATTTGTTTTGTTTATAGAGTGTTTTTCAACTATGGTTGATTGTTTTTTAAAATGGTGAAAAAATTGTGAAAGAAAATGAATCTTCATTCTGAGCTCAGCATCCATGATTTTTTGTTCTGATTTTTCCTTATTTTTTTTTCTCGGGCTGCATTTAATTCACTTCTGATTTGACATTTTTTCCATTCATTGAATTCCTATGTTTGGTGTTTCTTGGCAGTCTAATAACCTTTGTAGTACTTGCCTAAGAAGAATTGGAATCTGTCACTGCTTTCTGTAAAAGTAGATTGTGAATCCAAAACTAAAAGCAGGGTGGTTTGCAGGCTGGACTTGCAAAATTAAAACTGGATGACTGAAATCCAAATTTACCACCCAAATCCATCTCTAGCCATCCAAAGATTTTGAGGTTATTAAAAATCTTATTATACTCATGGCTAGATAGTCTCTGATACAATAATATGAAAAGTTTATTAATACGTCAGTGTCTAAGACTCAGGTATTTAACTTGTACTATTTGTCTAAACTCCTATAAAGCAAGCCTAAGTGTTTATGTTCATTGGATGTATGAAGAGGTAAGTGGGTAACAAGTTATTTATCTCGTAGGGATGTTTGTTCTAACATTGATGGAGGTTAAGATTTCATAAAATGTACTCTCAATAGTACTACTTAATACCCTTCTCTCCCCTACTTAAAAAAAAAAAAAAAAGTAACTACCGGTAATTAGATTTGTGGGGCAACAATCTGTCTGATGCTTGGTACATGTTGGCAAATTTCAGCACATGTTTTACTTCAATATAAAGTAATTGTGAAAACATTATCAGAAGATCATTTGTACTGGCCAATGGAAGGTTTCCCATATCCACTACCCTGTGGCTGTTAGCACTTTCCAAATGGAAGTGCCAAATAAATTGAATGTATTGGCAGCAAAGTATATCCTCTTGAAATGCTGGAAAGATGCTTTGGGAAGTCAAGCAGATTAATGATCTATCACAAGATGATTACATATTTAAATCATTTGTTGTATAGAAAATTGGTGATCCTAATTGGAATCTGTTCATGAATTATATTGGGATACGAGGAGAAAAGACCAGGCTGATAATCAAAAAGACCAATGTGTCTAGAATTTTCAGTTTGGCTCAAGAGGAAGGAGAATTTATGTGGCATTTGGGTATTGTGTTTAGTGCCTATTATGTTGCTATTCAGCCTTGCAAAACTATCATGAAAATTTACCAACACACTCACTAAATCTACTTGGTCGCTGTAGCATAAATCTTATTTGACTCTTCCAGAAGCATTGTTCACTGTAGGCAAAGGAATGACTAGAATTTTGCAAAGCTGTTGCATAATAATTTATTACAATTTCTAAAATAATACATGTTGACTTAATAACAGACCAATTTAAAGATTAACTTCACTTTTTTATTAATACCAAAGTTTTATCAAATTTGGAAAACAAAATAGAAGTGTTTAGAAAAGAAAAAATAATAATGCTGGTTTCAAATTAATACAGTCATTGACTTTGGTTCCATAAAGAAATAACAATAAAAAAAATGGTAAAACATGGATTTTCAGCTTTTAGTAAGAGTAACACTGACAAAGCATCGGTGTAAAAGCAACTTCCAGCTTAAAATAAACAATAAAATTAGTTTTTCAGGTTTATTGGACAAGCCTCTCTGATGCATACTCTTCTTTGAGAGCCATGCATGGACAGAAGAATCTTATATGAACAAAATCCTGATTACACTGTTACATGGCTATTTTGTATATTTAACACACACAAAAAAAACCAATTAAAAATATTAACTTAGTTGATTTCCTCATCTATGTACCAATAACTTCAGTGCTAAGTACTATATATTAGATGAATGCTGTATCCAACAAATTAATGAAACATTAAATATACGTGTGAACAGTAAATATGACAGTGTCATCTGTTGGCTGATTTAATTAGCTCTGCCAGGAATGTATCAGATATGTCGTTGAATAATGCACATTTCCAATTTTCATTAAGTGGGAAGTAACAAACCTAATAAAGATATATGCTTTTTAAAGAAATAAACTTACTGTGCATGAAAAACAGTGTGGGTAAGAGACTGCCTCTAATGATTTCAGGTGATAAAGCTATTTTAAATTTGGAGTATATCAGTATATGCATGAATGTCTGTGTTTTGTTGTGGATCTATAATGCCAGTTTCTGAATTTACTGACAAATTACAGTTGTAACATATACTCAGAACATTAGTTAGTCTACAGCACCTTAGTTTAAAAATATTGCATTAGTGTGTTGCTGCAGATTATAAAATCACATTTCTAAAAAATCATTGCACAGATTTTTAGATTCACAATCTGAGTATTCATCTTTAGCCTTAAATGCTTGGCTCTTCAGACATAGTTTTTTTTAAATAAATCCTTCAAAAGACCACCTTATCTAAAATAGACATTTAAATTTAATTACTATAGTACAAAAAACTTGCTTCCAAAGTCGTCTTGTCCTTTCTGTCCATCCCTGTAACCTTTCTCCTTCACCCCCCTGTTGAAGAGAGCCCTTAAAGGGACAACACCCCTTTTCTTGCAGATAGCTGGACAAATGATTTTCTCTTTCTTTACTTCTGACTATTTGATGAACTAGTTTTAAGAGATCCCTCCAGCGAAATCAGTACCTTAGTAAGATATAAAATCCTTTGTTATGCCTAAAATTTTTGGAAACATATATTTTTAAGTTGATGAAACTTCATAAACATGTCTGTTGTTATAACAAGTAAATTAGTGTTCCCTTTCTCTAAAAGCAATCTCTTGAACATTGTTATGAACACACTAAACTTCAGTGACTGATTAGTTTAAAATAATGTCTTTGTTTCAGTGAGATAAATATGTAGTAATCTGGAATGATTACTTTATGAAGGCTTACGAGTACATTTAAAATATAAAATCAACTTAGAAATACTGATTAAGAAAATGTAAAACAAAGAAGAGCTACATCATCTATTACTATAATGTTTAATGTTGTATTCAGCAGGACAACTGACTTGCCCTTACTACAAAGTTTTTGCAAATAAATCTCCGACATTCTTCTAAAAACGCACAAAGTTACTCTGAAGCTTAATTTTGAAACAAACTCCCCTACCCTATCATCCTCACTTCCCCTTTGTTGCAAATAATTTGTTTGACCAGTCATAGGTGCCACATCATAGTCCAATTAAAATTGTCTGAAAGAGACAATATTAGGACGGCTAAAGTGGGATACTATCACATATGAGCAAACAAGAATCCTGAGAAAGAGGAGTGAACGTAATCAGAGGAATACAAGCCATTAGATTCTGCATTGGGCAACTGCAACCAGACTTGATCGTTTTCCATGAGATCAATGACAGCACTTCCAGAAGCTTGGTCAAGGTATCCTTTCTTGTACTCATCATAAGTGTACATGATTGGTGAGCCATTTTTGTAGAGTGCGACCCAAACATTTGTTCCTTTTACATGTACATGGTAAGAAAAATAGTAAAGTCCTGGGATCCTACATGTGAAGATGCCTGTTCTGGGGTCATAATGTTGCTGTCTGTTGTACAAGATTTTATCAAATTTGATGGGCACAGTGGCCCCAGGGTAGGCTTTGGAGAGAATGGCAGAGAAAGCTGACACTGGCATTCCAGTTAGACCTTGATTTACTCCTGCTTTCATAAGAGGCAATCCTGTGAGGCCTTGACTCTCTCCTGCTTTTATATAACCATCTGGCATCTGTGGGAGTATTGCTTGCCCAGGAGGACCAGGTGGACCCGGAGGGCCTGGTAACCCAGGCTCTCCATTGTTGCCTCTTGGGCCTGGGAGCCCAGGTGGCCCCATGGGTCCATTTAAACCTTTTGTAGCAATGCCAGCTGGACCTGGTAATCCTGGTGCCCCTGGCTCCCCTTTAGTGCCTGGAAAACCTGGAATGCCTGGTGGCCCAATTGGACCTCTTATACCAGGTATTCCAGAAGGTCCTCTTGGGCCTGGCTCACCATTAAATCCTGGTGCTCCTTTAAGTCCTGGTGCACCCATTGGACCAGGTAGGCCAGGTGGCCCTGCATGACCATTGTCCCCTTTTGGGCCTGGTAAACCTGGAGGTCCTTTAGGACCAGCAAGACCCTGCTCCCCTGGATATCCTGGTTTTCCCTCTAATCCTGGTAGGCCTCTGTCACCTTTAGCTCCTGGGTATCCTGCAAGGCCTGCAGGTCCTGCTTCACCTTTAGGCCCAGGTAGGCCGTTTTCACCTGGTATTCCTCTAAGTCCTTGAGGACCCATATTTCCAGGTGGTCCAGATGGCCCTGGTTCTCCTGGAACTCCAGCTGGGCCTTCATCTCCTTTGATTCCTGGAACACCGGGAAGGCCTTCAGGTCCTCTATGTCCTTTCATCCCTGGCAAACCTGGCTTTCCAAACCCTGGAAGACCTGGGGATCCAGGCATGCCCGGGGGTCCAGGCAGTCCTTTAGCTCCAGGAATCCCTGGTAATCCTGGTGGTCCATTTGCTCCAGGCTTTCCAATTCCTGCTGCTCCAGGTTCCCCAGGAAGACCTTGGGAACCTGGGATGCCTGCTGGTCCTGGTGCACCTGGTAAACCCCGATCACCTTTCACACCTGGCTGACCTGGAAACCCATTTTCACCAGGCTTCCCTATCCCAGCAAGTCCAGGAGGTCCTGGGGGGCCTTGGGGGCCTGGGAGCCCTCTGTCTCCTGGGTGACCTGGAACTCCATATCCATTTTCTCCCTTTAGTCCGTTTATACCAGGAATACCTGCCTCACCCTTTTCTCCGGGGACACCCCGGGGCCCTTGTGCTCCTGGTGGCCCTTGTTCTCCTGTCTTGCCAGCAACAGAGATTCCAGCAGGACCAGGAATTCCAGGAGACCCCTGTGGCCCTCTTGATCCTGGGAGACCAGCAGGTCCAATATCTCCTTTTTCACCATTTAATCCTCTCTCCCCTGGTTTTCCTGGTAAACCTGGTAAGCCTGGCTTTCCAACAGCAGAAAATCCGGGTGGGCCTGGGGACCCTGGTGGACCTTGAGGACCTGGATTTCCATAGCCTGGTGGCCCTGCTGGGCCTGGTTGTCCTCTTGGGCCAGCAGGACCTGGTAGACCAGGAGGTCCTTGTTCTCCCCTTCCCTGTAAACCTAAGACACACAATACAATCATTAGTGCAGTGGTATCATGTTCATGGCTTGTCAGCATTTTGGCTGACACTTAGAGAGATGAAACAAAATAAAAATGAAAATACTAATTAATTAGTATAATGTCTACAAAGATCAGTGTCTTTAAATTACTGCAAGTTCTAGTGGTTAGAGTAGAGAACTGGGGATAAGACTCCTGGATTCTATCCCCTGCAGAACCGATCATTTGGTGTGAACTTGGGCAAGTCACTTAAAGACTCTGTGCTTCAGTTGACCCATTTATAAAAGAAGCATAAAATACCTAAGGCACAGTAGTATAGAGTCTAGATAAATATTTACCTAACATTCCCATTTCCCTCTTCCACCAATTGTCTACTATAGTGATCAGCACTGAAATAGTTAATATATCATTCCTTCCCTCACCTGAGCGCTCGCTCATTAGGCATGACAGCTAACACTGCAATGAGATGAATGGGAGGAAGGCACATGGGAGTTCCCTACTGACTCTTTGTTTCAGCCTATCTATTTGCAGATTCATGAAGACTTCCACAGTGGTTTACATTTGGAAGTTTATCACCCCAACTGTATGGGCTAAGAATATATTCATTCATTCATTCATTTTTTAAAATGAAAGCTTAGATTCTGCAGAATCTGAATATGTCAGGTGTGCTCTATACATATATTGAGCAATCTGGATTCAATGTGTGGGCTGGGTGTTTGACACCACAGATGAAACTTGTGTGCACCATGAGCCCTGATTTCTAGCTGAGAGAAGTGTTTTTTTGTGTGGTTTCTGCCTTGCTAAAACATTCTGAATGAGACCTATCTAAACAGACATTGTTACTAGTCTGGGTATGTCTACACTACGGGATTAATCCGAATTTAGATAATTCGAATTTGGGAAACAGGTTGTATAAATTTGATTGTGCGCGGCCACACTAAGCACATTAATTCGGTTTTTAACCACATTAATTCGGTGGTGTGCGGCCACACTACCCCATTTATTTTAACCACATTAATTCGGTGGTGTGCGGCCACACTAACCCTAATTCGAATTAACAAAATCGATTTTGGCGCTACTCCGCTCGTCGAGGTGGAGTACAGAAATCGATTTAAAGCGCCCTTTAATTCGAACTAAATGGCTCTGTAGTGTGGACGGGTGAAGGGTTAATTCGAATTAACGCTGCTAAATCCGAATTAATCCTGTAGTGTAGACCAGGCCTCTGTTTGATGTAAAATAACTTTCTTTCCTGTGGTAGCTTGCTGAGAAGTGTGCAGTTAACTGTCTGTGTCCTGTGCCACGTGTAGGAGCCAACTGAAAACGCCTCTCTCACCACTGAGAGATGAGTCATGAAAAGTTTTCTATCAATAAATCCTTTATAGTGATCTTCTGACCTTAAGAATTACTAGCTCGCGCAGGTGATGAAATGCATAATGGGGTTAGGTCCAATTTAAAGCACATTGAAGTCAGTGGACAGACCACTTGTTGGTTTCAGTGGGCTCTGGATCAGCCCCTTAATGATTTACAGAGGTGTAAGAAGGGACCTAAACCTGCTAAGCACATAACTTGGAGAAATAGGAAGTAAATATGTTACAGAAAGTACTATTATCAGTGATAGCTGCTGCAACAATACTTCTGGAAATCCTTTTAAAAAGAAGTATCGAGGGGGGGGGGAGTTTCACTAAGATTTGAATGGAGCTATGCAAGTAGATTGTAAAGTCTTTAGGAGAGTAGGAAGATACATTGTTGGTTGAAACAACGAGGAGTCCTTGTGGCACCTTAGAGACTAACACATTTATTTGGGCATAAGCTTTCATGGGCTAAAACCCACTTCATCAGATGCACGGAAAAATTCAGTAGGCAGATATATATATTACAGCAGATGAAAAGATGGGAGTTGCCTTACCAAGTAGGGGGTTAGCACTGACCCTCCACTTGGTAAGGCAACTCCCGTCTTTTCATGTGCTGTATATTTATAATTGCCTACTGTATATTTCACTCCATGCACCTGATGAAGTGGGTTTTAGCCCACGAAAGCTTATGCCCAAATAAATGTGTTAGTTTCTAAGGTGCCACAAGGACTCCTTGTTCTTTTTGCTGATACAGACTAGCATGGCTACCACTCTGAAACCTGTCATTGTTGGTTGAGTCACTGTGTGCTGTACAGAAAACAATTTGGTGGTGGAATGAATGGAATTAACGGTGTTAAGGAGAAGTTATAAATCATATTTGAAGGCTGAGTTTGCTCTTTGCAAGGATCTTCATATCCTATGAAAAAATATTCCCTTTCTTTAAAGATTTGGATAGTTCCCAATTAACGAAATCAGGTAGGCATAGGAGGGGAGAATATTTTGATTTTTACAATATTGCAAATATATATTTTAATAAAACCACTGTCCTGTCTGTAGGCAATTCTTATTTAAAATCTAATATAAGTTCTCTTACGTGAGTCAAACTCAGATAAGGAATAAGTAATGATCTTATTTCTACACAGTTCTTGATTTCATTCAAACAATAGACAATCTTTTCCCCAAACAGTCTACAGTACTTGAATGTCAAGGATATTGATTTGAAATTTTAAAATTTATAGTACTAGGTCATGATACCATGATCAATGAATTCAGTAAGTTAGTAGTGTCTACTCAATCTGCACATTTGAAAATGTGCAAAATTAAAGAAGCTTCCTACTAAAACTACAGCTATTAAGATTTCAGCCTTTCCCTCCTCCTTTCCTCCCCATCTGCAAGGCTGAATCGTGGTTTTGTTTCTTAGTAACTAAATCATATAGCATGTTTCTAGATAACATTTATTTGTAGTGGTCACTTTCACTTTATACACAGGTTTCAGAGTAGCAGCCGTGTTAGTCTGTATCCGCAAAAAGAACAGGAGTACTTGTGGCACCTTAGAGACTAACAAATTTATTTGAGCATAAGCTTTCGTGGGCTACAGCCCACTTCTTCGGATGCATAGAATGGAACATATATTGAGGAGATATATATACACATACAGAGAGTATGAAATGGTGGGAGTTGTTTTACCAACTCTGAGAGGCCAACTAAGTAAGAGAAAAAAAAACTTTTGAAGTGATAATCAAGATTGCCCAGTACAGACAGTTTGATAAGAAGTGTGAGAATACTTACATGGGGAGATAGATTCAATGTTTGTAATGGCTCAGCCATTCCCAGTCTCTATTCAAGCCTAAGTTGAATGTATCTAGTTTGCATATCAATTCAAGCTCAGCAGTTTCTCATTGGAGTCTGTTTTTGAAGCTTTTCTGTTGCAAAATTCTGTTTGCTACCCAAGATCCAGGAACCTATCCTTGCAACAAAGCCTGATGCCAACTCTGTCCACATATCTATTCAAGTGACATCATCATAGGACCTAACCACATCAGCCATGCCATCAGGGGCTCGTTCACCTGCACATCTACCAATGTGATATATGCCATCATGTGCCAGCAATGTCCCTCTGCCATGTACATTGGCCAAACCGGACAGACTCTACGCAAAAGAATTAATGGACATAAATCTGACATCAGGAATCATAACATTCAAAAACCAGTAGGAGAACACTTTAACCTGTCTGGTCACTCAATGACAGACCTGCGGGTGGCAATTTTGCAACAGAAAAGCTTCAAAAACAGACCAACAAGAAACTGCTGAGCTTGAATTGATATGCAAACTAGATACAATCAACTTAGGCTTGAATAGAGACTGGGAATGGCTGAGCCATTACAAACATTGAATCTATCTCCCCATGTAAGTATTCTCACACTTCTTATCAAACTGTCTGTACTGGGCTATCCTGATTATCACTTCAAAAGTTTTTTTTTCTCTTACTTAATTGGCCTCTCAGAGTTGGTAAAACAACTCCCACCTTTTCATGCTCTCTGTATGTGTATGTATATCTCCTCAATATATGTTCCATTCTATGCATCCGAAGAAGTGGGTTGTAGCCCATGAAAGCTTATGCTCAAATAAATTTGTTAGTCTCTAAGGTGCCACAAGTACTCCTGTTCTTTTTACTTTATACACAGTTGGGCAAATGATGGCCCTTAATTTCACTAGAGAGACAATGTGGGTGAGGTAACATCTTTTACTGGACCCACTTCTGTTGGTGAGCGAGACAAGCTTTCAAGCTACACAGAGCTTTTCTTCACATCTGGAAAAGGAACTCTAAGAGTATGTAAACTATAATTCAACACTAGTGGCTGGCAGTTTTATAGCCCCTTGACCTGGGCCAGCCATGGGTGTTTGATTGCAGTGTGGACATACCCAAAGTGTCACAGATTGTTTAGCATAAGTAGTTAACACATATTCCAACAGACCATTCAAGGGAAGTGACCCATTAACACCTCTGCAGTCATAGGACAAAAAAAGGGAGGTGAGTGGGTTACAAATTGTTGTAATAAGCTATAAATCCAGTGTCTTTATTAAGACCAGGATTTTTGAGGCCTTGGCTACACTTGCAGCTGTACAGCGCTGTGAGGTAAACCTGTCTTCGTACAGCTGAGTAGGGAAAAGCGCTGCAGTCAGTCCACACTGACAGCTGCCAGCGCAGTGGTGTGGCCACACTTGCAACTGTGCAGCTGTGTTGGGAGCGGTGCATTATGGGCAGCTATCCCAGCATTCATGTGGCTGCAACGTGCTTTTCAAAACGGGGGGTGGGGTGGATTGTGACAGGGAGTGTGGGGGGAGAGAGAGTGCTTTTTGGAGCATATCAGCTCTCTATTTTGCAAGTTCCGAACTCCCTGCTCATTCATTTACTCACTCAAAGCAAGCTGCAAACTGTTTGCTTTTCTCTGTGGTACGAGCTTTGAAACCGGCACTTCCGCATTCCTGCAGCCGGTCACAACAATGGAGAGGATTGGCCACTTGACAAGGTGATTAGTACAGCGCTGCAAGCGTTTACACTCACACCCGTGAGTCGTAGCCACTCCGCTGAAGCTGTTATTCCTCTCGGAGATGTGGAGTACCTGCAGCGGTGTACCCAGGGAGATACA